TCGCCCCTCCACCTTCTCAGGGCTCCGGATAGTGGCGGGTGGTGCCAGGCAGGGGCAGCCCCTGGCTTCAGAACAACATGTCTTTATGAGCCATCTTGAGGGATTATTTGTTTCCTCTGCCAGAAAACCAGTCTTTCAGGACACGTTGCGCCAATACGTAAAGGCATCCTTAATGACTCTCCCGTAAACAGCACAGCCAAGATAACTCAGGATTCTGGTAACAGAAGCAACATCTAGGTTTTTGTTGGGGTTGGGTAGGGGGACTCACAGACCTTTCTTTCTTTCTTTTTTTGTTTTGGAGACAGAGTCTTGCCTTGTCGTCCTGGCTAGAGTGCAGTGACATCATCATAGCTCTCACTACAGCCTCAAACTCTTGGGCTCAAGGGATCCCCCTACCTCAGCCTCCCAAGTAGCTGGGTCTACAGGCACGAACCATTATGCCCGGCTAATTTTTCTATTTTTAGTAGAGACATGGTCTGGCTCTTGCTCAGGCTGGTCTCGAATGCCTCGGCCTCCCAGAGTGCTAGGATTATAGGCGTGAGCCACTGTGCCCAGCCTCACAACCTTTCTAAATGTGTACTAAGTTATTTCTTCCCCAAAGAACATATTGTGTATTTCATTGTTAAGTACTTGTCTGCAATTTAATATCCATGTATATTCATAGACTTCGTGGGGAACTTCAAGCTCAATTGAATGTATCCATACTTTTATAATCTTAGTAAAGCAAACAGAAACTCACTGATATTGGGATCCACATCTAATGGTGACCTGGGTGTCACAGGGGCTTCTGGGTTTACTGGCAATATGAAAAACAACATGCCTAAAGTCTGTGTGCATTAACATGATTGAAAGGAGCACAAATAGAACACTCAGTCCAGCCTATCTGAAGTGGCTCTGAACATAAACTTGCCACATTTCTTTCTTTTTTAAGTTACTTTTGATTTTATTTATTTTTTAGAGACAGAGTCTTGCTCTATCACACAGGCTGGAGTGCAGTGGCATCATCATAGCTCACTGCAACCCTCAGGAGGGCTCAAGCGATCCTCCTGCCTCAGCCTCCCTAGTAGCTGGGAATACAGATGTGCACCACCACACCTGGCTAATTTTTTTCATTATTATTTAATTTCTTGTAGAGACAGGTCTCACGATGTTGCCAAAGCTGGTCTCAAACTCCTGGCCTTAAGTGATCCTCCTACCTTGGCCTCTAAAAGTGCTGGGATTACAGACGTGAGCCACGGTGCCCAGGTCCCACATTCCTTTTTAAATAATATAAAACTTAGGAAAAAGCCTAACTCCCTCTCTGTGAAACAATGACCTCTTTCACCTACTAAGAGTTTATTTTTTATTTTATTTTTTTTTTTTTTGAGACAGAGTCTCGCTTTGTTGCCTAGGCTAGAGTGAGTGCCGTGGCGTCAGCCTAGCTCACAGCAACCTCAAACTCCTGGGCTCAAGCAATCCTTCTGCCTCAGCCGCCCGAGTAGCTGGGACTACAGGCATGTGCCACTATGCCCGGCTAATTTTTTTTTCTATATATATTAGTTGGCCAATTAATTTCTTTCTATTTTATAGTAGAGACGGGGGTCTCGCTCTTGCTCAGGCTGGCTTTGAACTCCCAATCTCGAGCAATCTGCCCGCCTCGGCCTCCCAGAGAGCTAGGATTACAGGCGTGAGCCACCGCGCCCGGCCCTACTAAGAGTTTAAAAAGATGTGTCTTCTATTGCACCACAACAGCTTCCTGGTGACGAGAGTTCTGTTCCCAAAGCCATCAGGGGAGGAGCTGAAACCACATATCCTCAGAGAGGGCAACAGGGCAGCCCCTTTAAAGACTATTAGTTTCCTGCAACCATAAAATTCTAATCTGCTGTGGTAGATGCTCCTCAACACAACCCTCCAGTAGCTACTTGTAGAAAAGCCCTCTGCAGGGTGTGCTCATGAAGTTTTTCAACTCAGAGATTAAATGTTTCAAGCTTAGTTTGTGAAATCTTCCTGTCCTCACTCCTTATTCAATCCAGATTTCAGACCACATTCCCCACGTCAGCCTCCGTTAGGACGTTAGGACGCTGTTGACTCTCGGTGGGCAATGACTTCAGTAACAGGTTTCAAAGGACAGGACCTGAGCGAATGCCAACAATGTGAATGGGATGAGTGACTACAACCAGGGAGAAAGTGTACTGGCCTTAAATGCCATGTAACTTACTCGAAAATGGCTATGCCTTAGCAGAAAAGTTTGTATATGTGTATGTACGATTTGTATGTATGTAGAGTTCCTGGTCAAACTCGCTCTGAACCCATGACTCAAATAGACTTCTACTGCTCTGCTAGATTCACCAGGCAAATCTCATTGGCACTTCTTGAAAGAAGCACTTGATGTTTGGCATCTTCAAAAGCTACATTTAGCTGAACTGTAGCTCTGATTCTGCTTACCAAAATTTGCTTGCTCACAGAAGTCCAAGGTCAAAAACTAAACTCCACCAAATGCAAATGAAACATCTGTTGAAAAGATTCAAAGGAGTTTAAATCCGAATGAGCCAAAAAGTTAATTTAGCACTCCAACAGCCAGCCCACGGAGGATCTCAGGATCATTCAGGGCTGCATTCTGACAGAGTCCTGCCCCGCCCCCATCAACTACAAGGAGTCCAGAGAGGAACCCAAAGACACACCAGGTCACATAGTGGAGTGTGTCTATGAGGTAGTCTGGAAGAGAAACCCGGCTCAGCCACTCCCAGCAGGCACCTGCCCACTTACCTACAGGAAGGCCAGGACCACTCTGTAGGAGGGGAAGGCCTGTTGTTGGGGTGAGCCCACACTGTCAGCTGCTCCCAGCCCTTTGCCCTTAGTGACTTCAATAGCACATCCCCCATCCTGGGAGCTCATCAGGCCCCCACGTCTTGGGGATTGGCTGGGCAAAGGCTAGACTGCAAACAGCTCACTGTCAGTTGTGTGTTAAGTTCTCTTAACCTACAAACCCGTGTCCCATTGTGTGAACCAAAAATGCACATTTGACTCAGTTACGTGATGCCACAGAAAAGCAAAACATTGAATTTCCTCCCTAGGGCTATTCCTTATGTTCCTGAGAAATAGCACGTGGCACCAATCCAAGCCACAGTGCTCCAAAGAAACGTACAACTGAGTCAGGGAATGAAAAATCTTAGCCTACTAAAATATACAAAAACTGTTGTGCTAAAAAGCTGAAATACGGAACACCTGTTTTCACACGTAATACGTGTGAAACGTATTTCTTACGTGTGAAGGGTCCAAGGCTAACGCTCCCAAACTGAAATGAGCGGGAAGGGACTGCTTGTCTGTGAGCGGACACCTCGTGGGCAGGCTCAAGAGCCACAGCGTTCCGGAAGCCCTCATGCCGGGTCAGGGCGTGCGGGAGGTTGCTGCAGGTGAGGGGTGGTCAGATGGAAAGCCGCCTGCCCCTACAGCCGCGGTTCCTGGGTGACAACTGCCCCACTCCCAGTTGCTGCAGGGAAGCAGGCGAGCTGCGGCCCGGCTGCCTGTGGACAGACTCCCGGGGTGCCCAGAGCTCCGGCTCCCAGAGTGCAGGGCCCTCTCCTTGGCACAGGATCCTGGCCTCCCTAGTTAGGTCTTGGAAGTGGCCAACCACCTTGCTTCAGGAACCTCAGACTTTTTTGGTTTTGTTTTTGTTTTTCAGACGGTCCTGATATATTGCCCAGGCTGGTCTTGAATTCCTGACTCAAGTGATCCTCCCACCACAGCCTCCTGAGCAGCTGGGATTACAGGTGCATGCTACTATGCCTGGCTATAAAACTGGAAGTTTTCAGGGAGAAATTTTGTTCCGTACAAACTGCCACATGTCCAGCCACTGCTTCTGAAACTCTTTAGATAGGACACATATTTCACCCAACAATTCCCTTACCCAGTGACCCATGGATACACTTGCCCATAAGGAAGAAACTGCATTCTGTCTCTGGTAGAGGACAGGGTCATTAAATATGCTGAAAAGAACTTAGTTTTTAATCAGTAGAACCAGGTAAGATTTTAAAGTCATTACATCTTTAAGCAGAATGGCTCTCACTCACCCTAATTGAGGCAAATATTGCTGCAAAAAACACCAGCTACACTGTGAGGGGAATCTTGTTTTTGGTGTCTGTGTGTGTTTATTCCTTTTAGGAAATACACTCTTAAAATACTTCCTGACTCTGGTCAGCATTGCCCCTTACTTTGAAATAACTTTTCTAAAACAAATAAAACCTAATTTAACTTCCTTTACATTCCATGACAAAATGTTTGCTATTAGTGTACAATGAAAAGTTGGCATTTTATAAAATAAAACTGACATTTAAAAATTGCCAGTGCCAGTACTCTCAAAAACCTACAAGAATCTGTGAAAGACTGGGCTGTTTACAATATTTCATCAAATTCTGAACTTAGAAGATCTACTCTCCAACACAGAATAGGAGAGAGCAAAGCTAGGGTTCCCTTTCTAGCAGCTGTGTTTCATGCTCATTATATTATTAAATAGGTCATTACAAAATTTATCATTTGAACTCCAAAATATAGTTTTGAAAATCAATAACGGTTTCTATAGAAAATCTGCTGTACATAACCCTTAAAAATCTAGTTCTTATCTATTTTATTCTAGATTTAATAGGTTACCATTGTAAAGGATACTCGACAAGAAGATAGCTATTTTGATCATTAATTACCTTGGGCTCCTAATTTCATCCTAGTTTAATTTTAAATAATACAAAACAACCCAAAATATTGCATTATTGCTGTACAAACAAGCATTTTCAAACTTTGTTATAGGCTATTTATAATACATTACCAATATTTACAAACCATAAGAACAATACAAAATGTATTTACCTAGGTGTTGCTATTATGCAATAATGCACTTTTAAGAAATGGTATACCAGACCCAAGAACACCTGGGCAACACATGAAAAGGTTTGACTGCTTTTGTATTTAGTAACAGAAAAAATGGTGTCATTCTAATAATTGATTATTTTTATTGTTATACAGTTTTTATAAGCACATGTGAGTTAAGTATTCATTATTTCATCAATGTGACCATTTTTAAAAGTCTGCTTAACTCCAAGTATAAATTATTACTCATAAACTCCTGATGGATTTCTGTCGATAAATTATTTTTAAAATTTCTCACTATCAGTTAATTTTCAGAAACATGAGCAGGAAGGGACTGCTTCGCTGTGAGTAGACACCTTGTGGGCAGGATCAAGAGCCACAGCATTCCCGGAAGCCCTCATGCCGGGTCAGGGCAGGCGGGAGGTTGCTGCAGGTGAGGGGTGGTCAGGATGGAGAGCCGCCTGCCCCTACAGCCGCGGTTCCTGGGTGACAACTGCCCCACTCCCAGCTGCTACAGGGAAGCAGGCGAGCTGTGGCCCGGCTGCCTGTGGACAGACTCTGTGGACAGACTGCCATAGTCAAAGGGAAGTCCCCAAACCAAAGTTCAAACTAAATATTTTTAAAGTGTAAGACACATTCTAAGGCACAAAAATACCTGGCAGTTTTGTAGTGTGAAGCTAATTCAGATGGGTGCTATATTTCAGTTACACTGATTTGTTATTATTTCTTAGGTGCAAGAAGGTAGCAGGTGGATTCCCCTCCCCAGTATAATTGTACTTTGGTGTCTTAGTGTTTATTTTGAACAAGATTACTGAGAGTAATGGCAACGGTTTTTCCTCTACCCCAGGGAGGTTTATTTAAAGTGGCAAAATTCAAAGTTTAACTGCTTTATTAATTATAATTCTCAGCATATAGTGTTTTTTAAAAAATACTACTTCTCTAGAGTAGGGGTTGGCAAACTTTCTATGAAGGGCCAGACAGTAAATATTTTATACTTTGCCATATGGTCTCTGCTGCGTCTACTCAACTCTGTGTTGTGGCATGAAAGCTGCAGAGAATACATAAATGAATGTGCATGGCCGCATTCCAGTAAAACTTATTTAGGAACACTGAAATTTGAATTTCATATAATTCTCGTGTGTCACAAAATAGTATTCTTCTTTTGAAATTTGTTCAACTATTTAAAAATGTAAAAGCCATTCTCAGGTCACAAGCCCTACAGGAACAGGCTATGGGCCAAATTTGGCCCCTGGGCTGTAGCAGGCCAATCACTGTTCTATAGGGAAACAGTGAAACTGTCCCTCCTTAAAGACTACTATCCCAAAAGTAACTGCTTAGCCATGTGCTGGGAGATAGGAAGACTTTATTTAAAAAGGTGAATTACTAAGGTATGACCAAGGGGTGAGGAACAGCATGGTCACCCGGGATGGCCACTTGCGGCTCATGCCCAGCCACACCCTCTTGGTGTCCACAGCCAGCAGCAGCGAGGAGAGGCGGTCCAGACCCTGCACCACCGTCCTGCCAGGGCAGGGTGCCATCTGGGTCTGAGCAGCATTGGCTTGCTGGGCACATTTCAGCATCCCTCAAGTCACCACTCCCGGCAGTGGCTGAGCGGAACAGAAAGCCACAGTTCCATCCCCCACCCCCTGCACTAGAGTCCAGAGACTAGGAGCCCAGCTTCCCTGACTGCTAATGGCCCAGCAGGAGTCTACACTGCTGTGTGATCCGTCTACACAAAGGGGGCTGGGCTGTGTGTCCTGGCTCTGGCAGCTCACAGCCAAGGCCTACCAGGTTACTCTGGCATTTCAATTCACCAAACATCTTATTTTGGTGGGGGACAGAATGCTTTCTACATTTTAGCCCACTATGGGAAATCTGAGCCCTTCCACATCAGAGAAGAGGAATTAAAGAAAAGAACTTTGTAAATACTGTTGTTTAACAACGGTTAAAGTACACCCGTCATCAGCTGCCACAGACCACCTGACTGCCAAGGCCTCCCCCAAACGCACGGAGTAAAATACAAAGTACAGTGTAAAACAGTGTGCAAGTGGCCTTTACTTTTTTAAAGGACATTTGTACACAACCGCACAAGTAAATAACATTAAGTCTGGGTGAACGTTTCCCAGATCCCAGCAAAAAGAAAAGGACCTGGCCCAGCCCCCACGCGGTCTTCTCTGAGAAATAGGCCAGGGTGCAGAGGTGCCTCCGGCGCCACAGCGGGGCGCCTTCCCTTAGTGCACGGTGTCAGGACGCTTGTCCTTTACCCGGGGTCTCCAGCACGCTGCAAGGGCTCACGTACGACACGTAGAGTTAAAAACGGATCCCAAGGTCTTAGGACCACGCTCAAGAGTCGCGAGTCTTTTTCTTGGCTAAAGTTACTGCTGGGGCCAAGGCGATGTCTTCCCATTCCGACGCACGCTGGGCATCCTAGAGGCCGTCTAGGGAAGTACAAGTGGTCAGAGACGTTTGGAGCTTCGCCGGGGCTCACTAAACTCGCTCAGGGGTCGGCCTGGGGCGCGAGTTTATGGCTCGGCGGCTTCCTCTTTTCCCTCTACGCTCCCCTCACGCCAGATCCACAACGCTCTGCAAGGCGTGCCTGCAAGTCCCGCGGGAGGGCTGCCCCACCTTCAAAGCGCTCGCTGGGGCTCAGGGCGCCTCGGCTGGGCGCGTGTAGCGCAGCGTGTAGTTGGCCCCCGCGTTGTTGTCCCAGTACTCGCCCTGCGCGCAGCGGTAGCAGACAGCGAAGTGGACGGCCACGCCGCGCGCGTCCGCGTCCTCCTCGTCCTCGGACGGCAGGCTCGGGGGCAGGGACAGGGAGAAGTGGAAGCGCTCGGCGCCCGGCTCTTTCTCCGCATCCTCGGACTCTGGCCCGGAGACGCCCGCCGGCGCCTCTGGCTGCTGAGGCTCCAGGGACTCGCACTGCAGCTCGGCTGGCACGTCCAGAAAGGAGCGCCACTCGGTAAAGGTGTAGCGCACGGTCACGGCCCTCGGCCCGGGGCAGCCGAGCACCCGGCCCGAGCCCTTCACCTCCGCGCTCCAGGGCACCGAACACTGCACGCGCTCCAGGCACACACGCTGCCGCCGCAGGCGCTCGGCCGCGGCGCTCGGCCCGGGGAGCTGGAAGAGCGGCCGGAGCCCGGGAGGCGGCGCGGAGAGGGGCGCGGCCGCAGGCGCCGGGGCCAGCAGGCCCCCCAGCTGCTCCAAGTCCTCGGCCCGCATGGGGAAGCTGCGGAGGCGCGAGAGCACGGCGGGCGGCACCTGCGGCTCTTCGGCCTCGCTGAAGTGCTTCACGCTGGCCAGGCTCAGCCCCAGTGTGTCCGCGAACTGCACCCGCTTTTTGCATTTGGCGCAGCAGCCTCCGAGGCTGTGCGGCGCGTCCTCAGCCCCCTCTGCGTCCTCGCCGCCTAAGCCCAAGGCCTGCTGCTGCAGAAACTTGGCCGCCTGCAGTATGGGCTCGGCCGGCAGGGAAAAGGAGCGCGCACCGCGGCCGCGCCGGCGGCACTCCAGCAGCTCCTCCTGCTCCTGGGGGGCACTCTCTTCCTTCTGGGAGAGGGGCCTGTCCCCTAGCCGAGCGTCAGGGTGCCCGGCCTCCGTTGTGCCACCGCCTTCCTCCCCACCCTCCAAGCAGAGGACCTCCGTAGAGGGCAGCTCCTCGTCCGGCGGGGACTCTCCGGAGGGTGCTGATTCCGGCGCCTCCGAACTTAGCAGCTGCGCCCTGGAGGGCTCCATGACGCCGTCCTGCCCCAGGACTTGTCCGGGCGCGAGCGCGGACTCAAGACTCCTCCGGAGACTTAACTCCTCGCGCCTTTGAGGAGCGCACAGCTCAGCTCCAGCTCTTCCGCCCCGCGGCGAGTCGGCCCGGGCTCGGGACGAGAACGCAGTTCCACTTTGCAGCCGCGCGGGCTTTTAGCTGCCGCTGCCGGGCGGAGTGGGAGGAGGATGCGGGGCTGGGGCCGGCTCCCAGGCGACACCGCCTCGGAGTTGAACCTGCCCGCCACGGGGGAGGGCCGGGGGCGGGGAGGCGCGGACGCCGGAACACCTGGAAGCGAGTTCCCGAGTGCTCGGGTAGAAAGTGCTCGGGAGACGACTTCCTGCAGGTCGCAGGCTCCGTGTTACCCCCGCCCCCCGCCGCCCCCGCGGGGCTCGCGTCTGTCCCGCGTCTGGTGTGGAGAGCGCGCGCTCAACTTTCTGAGACCCGAGCGTGGACAGAGTCTTCCTGCCTATGAAGGTGGCCTGACGAACCTGCCCACCGGAGGGTCACCCGGCGGTCTGCTTTCGGCTGTCGCCTCGGCCTGCGGAGTCCCCGGGGCAGCGCGCAGCTGGGGAAAACTTGCCTGCCAGGAGGCTGGAAGGAGGCCTGTCCCGCGCTGCCAGAGCCGGAGCGCATCCCTTCCCCGCTGCTCCTGCCTTCCCCAAACTTCGGGGCGCCCCGGCTCCAGTCCCACTCGGAAGCCTGCCTCGGTCAGGCGAGCTCCCCCTGGGCGCTTGGGAAAGCCAGGAGGCCGGAGCTGCCGCCCCCATCTGCCCTGTGGCGACGGCGGCGGGGGCGGGGCGGGGACCCGCGGGGAGCGGACAAGGCCGCCCGCCGAGAGCCGCCGAGGCCATCAGCGCCAGGCCCCGGAGCACGCCCCCACTCCTCCCCCTGTCCCGCCCGCAGCGCCCGTGGGCCTGCGCCCAGGACCCCGCAGAGAGGGAGGCTGACGCCCATGCCGGTGCCACCGCCCCAGCGCGCCCTCCTCGCCCGCCCGCTGGAGTCGGGGCCTGACGGGCCGGGCGCCCTGGGTACCCCGTCAGTGCTGAGGGCTCCCCCTGCGCGCTATTATTTGCAGAACAGCCCTGTGAAGCAGGAATCGTGTTATCCCTGCTCTCACATGGGACACAAAGGTGTAGGAAGATTTATCATGGGCCAAGGCCCCACAGCTAGTTTGTGGTGGGACTTGAACCCAGGTAGCTTAGAGGGAACGTTTCCTGTCAGTACTAAGCCTGGGCTGGGGGTGGTGTCGTGAGAGGGGGACACTGCTGGTCCCGGTGCTGGATCTGGCAGGTGGTTTTATGCCCGGTATGGAACCCTGTGATTGCCTCCCTTCTCGGGCATGGCATGGCGCGGAGCGAGGCCCCACATACACCTGGAGTGCTTCCCCAGCAACTCCAAGATTTCGAAGTAAGACATAGTTTTTACATTTAAATGACCATTGATTGATTGTGAAGTTAAATACAAAATTCTCAGACTATTTTAAAGATAAAAATAGGACTTTAAAGATTCTAAGGTTGTGGTACCCCTTTGGGCAACAGCCTTCATCCAGGGCCGGGACTTGAGGGAGGTGAGGGAGGTGCCAGGCCACAGAATTTGAGGAGGCATCACGCTCAGTGTCATGCAAGGCCTGGCCCAGCCCTGGCCCACCCTCCTCTCTCTGGCGGAAATATCAGAGGCCTCTCACGCGGTGAGCTGCAGGGACCAACTCTGGTGCCAACTCGGCTCCTCTGGCAGGTGAGACGGCGCCATCTGACCTGGGCAGGAGGCCAGGGCCGCCTATGCGGGAGTTGAGGGGAGTTAACGGGTGGGTAACAGGTAGGACTGCGGGCAAGAACATGCCAGGCCGCACACTGGCTCTGTGAGGGAGAGGAGTGGCTGCGAGGGGCTGACAGAAGGCCAGCGTGGTCCTAGGGCGAGGGCAGAGCTGAGGGTGGAGGCGTGAGAGAGGCCAGCCACTTAGCCTGGAGCAGTGAGAAGCCATTAGAGGGTTTTGAGTCACAGATGTGATCTAGTGGATTTAAAATTTGAAAAAATCATTCTGGATACAGGATGAAGATCAGATGGCTGGGGCAGTCAGTGTGGACGTACCCTGATAGCAGGCTGTTGCGATCGTTGTAGTGAAGGGTGAGCATACCTAGGTTGAAGGACGAGGGTGGCAGGGTGGGCGGCTCTAAGAGCTATTTAGGAGTGAAAACCAATGTGGCACCCTTAAGGGACCCCATGGGGTAGCTGAGGGGGAGGAAAATGCCTCTCGAGAGCTGCTGGGTAGAGGCAGTAAAAGTCACTGGGGCAGGGACCACCAGACGAGAAGCAGAGGAAGGGTAAGACCATGAATTACATGTTGGGAGGTTGAGCTCAGGTGCTCAGGTTCTTTCTGACACCACATGGTGTCTTGTATAACACCAATTCTCTCATTTTCCAATGGGGTGTCCAACAATTCAATTCTGACTCTATCTGCCTAGAGTTAGTGTCAAAATCCACAAATTAAAGGCTCAGTGCCACAAAATGTCCCCCACTTCAGATGCCAGCTGCAAATGGGGTGCCGAGGGTACCCACATTTCTGCCTCACCAACTAAAAATGCAGGGCTCCTAAACCACCTCTGCCCAGGTTCAATAATGACTCACAGAATTCAGGAAAACACTTTACTTCAGTTTACCAGTTTATTATAAAGAGTAAAACTCAGGAATAGCCAAATGAAGAGCTATAAGGCAAATTATGGGGATGGGTGTGGAGCTGGCAAGGCCCCTCCAGGTGCACAACCCTTCAGGCACCTCCGTGTGGTCCCCAGCCCTGAAACTCCACCAACCTTGTTCCAAGACCTCAGGAGCTCAATCTCCACCCCCTCCCCTTTCTAGAGGTGAGTGGGTGGGCCCCAAATTCCCAGTCCTCTAATCACTTGGCCTATCTGGTAACCAGCCCATTGTGAGGCTATCTAAGGAGCTCACCCTGCCACCTCATTAATGTAAACTCAGGTGTGATCAAAAGGGGCTTTTTATATTAATAAATAACAAAAGATCTTTGTTATAACATCATAAGTAATAACAAATTACTTAACAAATAACAACATAAGCAATAACATAGCATCATAAGTAATAACAAATTTCTTCTTAGAAAAATCCAAGAGTTTTAGGATCTCTGTTCCAGGAACTGGGGACAAAGGCTGAATGTATATTTTTATTATTCCATGGTAAGTCCAGAGCTGAAAAGCAGAGGAGAGGAGGACTGAGGAGAGCCCAGGGGACAGAGGAGAGCCCAGGACTGAGCTTTGAGCAACTCTGACATCTGTAGTCAGGAGCACCTGCAAAAGGGACAGAGCTCGAGTGGCCAGAAGGGTTAGAGGGGACGAGAGAGAGTTGTTCCTCAGAAGTCCGGGAAGAACTTCAGAAGCAGAAACAGTAAGCACCCCACTTGGGGCCCATGGGGACTTTGGGGTCTGCTCCCTTGCCACCTGAAAGGTGCAGAAGCACTAGGTGTCCCCTGCTCTGGTACGCTGGGTGATGAGATGACTTCTCTCCCTGAACTTTCCCTAGGACAGGGCCCAGGTCTTCTCTATTCTGGGACCCACATCCCTGAGGTTAATAGTTAAATAATGCAACATGCAAAACAACTTTGAAATTTAGGCTATGTAGTCTACCCCCCTGAAATGTATTCAGTCCTACTTCAAATACCATGTGCCTCAGCTGCTAAAATATTTACTCCAGGCATCCAGAGGCTCCTAGCTTTACCATTGGTTCTGGTTATATTGCTGCATGACGAACCACTCCAAACACAGTTGTTTTTAAAAGTAAGAACAGCAGTTATTTTATTCATGAATCTGCAAGTTGAGCAGGGCTCCCTAAGGGACAGCTTGTCTCTTCTCTGTTTGAGTGATTTGCAGGCTGGGGCTGGGATCATCCTATCACCAGGTCAGGGCCTGTGCTGGGAAAAGTCAAACAATTCAGGTGAAGTCATCAGAAAGGAATTTTTCCCTTTGCATTGAAAGCAGAAATGGTGCTGGGCCCTTCCTAGGTGATATACCATGGCAGTGTTATTATACAAGCAAACCTTGTGGTCTGATTCCACAGGTGGCACCCGAAACACTTCATAAGGATTTTAGCACTGCCTTTTAAGCACACACATTTGCCAGATCACCAAATATTTCAAGTGGTTCCCAGGCCACCCTTGTGCTACCTGGGATAGTTCAACCTTTCCCCTGGTTACCCAACCCAGCACCAGAAATTGTAAGCAGGTAGAACAAAACTCTGGACTAACTTGGTCAAGTAACAAATCCAAGCTTATAGCTGCCAAAGCCAGAGAGCAGGCTTCCTAAATCAGATATTTCGCAATGTGTTCTGCTCTTACAAACTGACAGGGGCACGTGGAAAATGGAGGTGTGTAGTTGCCAGTATGACCAATGACAAAGGTCATGAAACACACAGGACCCGGGCAACTACAGGTTCTACTCTGACCTCATCTGTGAACAGCACTGGTATTTTGTTTTATGTGGCAAGAAGATATATAAAGGGTTCCCATCTAAATATTTGGGATTATGTGGACTTGGATATCTGGCACCTTCTGTCGCCATGTACTACACTTTAAATGCTAGCCAAATCACAAACTTGGGCTCCTTCATTCTTAAGGTAGTGCCACATAAACATACCAGATGAGATGGCTCTGAACACCCATTTGTGTATCCCCACTCAAAGTGCTTTTCAATGTTGAGGACCTTATTCTCCAATTTTGAAATCTGTGGTTTGGAAATGGCAATCCTGAATCTTTCCATGGTAATAAAATCAGAGTTCAATACCACTATACAAATACTAGAAGCATTCCAACGAGAAATTAATAGTTGAGCCTCTGCTGTACTCCAAATAGTCATGCCCTGGCTACACGGACTGCTCAGTGAGGAGGCGGAGCTTGTGCAGTCATTGGTAAGAAATTCTGCTTCCGTGTGAATCAGAAAGGGCAAATAGTGTCTAACTTATCCTTCTAAAAGATGAAGTTAACTCTCTTTATCAGATAGATGAGGCACATCCATTTTATTGGACTCACCTATTCCCAGGATTGGGAAACTGGTTTAATGGGATATGGGGGAGAATGTTTAGGTTTTTTTCTGGTTACTTATTCTTGTTCCAATCTATGTTACTGTTTCCTTTTGCCCAGATCTCTTATCACTCAGCTACTGACCCAATTCTCTTCACAACCACCAACTCAGCTTTTAATATGTGACACTTCCTGTGAAGTTTCAGATAGGGGAAATGAAGGGGATTGGAACATGCCACCTCAAGATATGCCACTTTGGTATATTGAGCTGAAAGCAATTGAGAAGGTGCTGGAAGAGCTCTTTAACCTTCCCCTTTCCTACCTAAAAGCAGGGCATAAATACGTATGAGAAAGGTGCCCTATTGTACCAGGAGGAAGAGACTATTCTTATCACTGGAGATGGGAGTCAACACCAAGATGAATCTGTACAAACAAACCTACTAAAATAACCTTTGTCTTTCATCAGTTTCCTCCATATATTTCCTAGTTACTTTCTCACAATTTACTGACCTTAGCCCAAACCTGTTTTTTCTTTGTCTTGTCACATCTTCACAACCCACCATTCTTTTTTTAAATGGTCAGGTAAATTCTTAGGCCTATCCACTTTGGGTCTTTATTGCTTATAGGTCTCTGTGTACAAATAAGAATATTCACATTAGAGGATGTTGGTACTTTAAGACAGGAGTCTGCCAGCCTCCTCATTTGCCTG